GAAATTTAAAATAGTTTTTACTAATTCTGTGAAGAAAGTCTATGGTAGCTTGATGGAGATAGCACTGAATCTATAAATTACTTTGAGCAGTATGGCCATTTTCACGGTACATATTCTTCCTATCCTTGAGCATGGAATGCTTTTCCATTTGTTTGTGTCCTCTCTTATTTCCTTGAGCAGTGGTTTATACTTATCCTTGAAGAGGTCCTTCTCATTCCTTTTAAGTTGTATTCCTAGGTATTTTATTCCCTTTGTAGCAGTTTTGAATGGGAGTTCACTCATGATTTGGCTTTCTGCTTGTCTGTTATTGGTGTATAGGAATGCTTGTGATTTTTGCACATTGATTTTGTGTCCTGAGACTTTGGTAAAGTTGCTTATCAGCTTAAGGAGATTTTGGGTTAAGACGATGGGGTTTTCTAAATATACAGTCATGTCATCTGCAAACAGAGACAATTTGACTTCCTCTCTTCCTATTTAAATACTCTTTATTTCCTTCTCTTGCCTGATTGCCCTGGCCAGAACATCCAATACTATGTTGAATAGCAGTGGTGAAAGAGGGCATCCTTGTCTTGTGCCAGTTTTCAAGGGGCATGCTTCCAGCTTTTGCCCATTCAGTGTGATATTGGCTGTGAGTTTGTTATAAAAAGCTCTTATTAATTTAAGGTGTGTTCTAAATTTTAAATGGCTCGCCAGGTATAAATTGTTCCCTCAATACCTAGTTGATTAAAGTGTTTTTATCATGAAGTGGTGAATTTTACTGAAGTACTTCTCTGCATCTATTGAGATAATCAGGTGGTTTTTGTCATTGGTTCTGTTTATGTGATGGATTATGTTTATTGATTTGCATATGTTGAACCTGTCTTGCATCCCAAGGATAAAGCCAACTTGATCAGGGTGGACAAGCTTTTTGATGTGCTGTTCGATTTGGTTTGCCAGTATTTTATTGTGGAGTTTCATACTGATGTTCATCAGGGCTATTACCCTGAAATTTTTTTGTTGTTGTTGGATCTCTGCCAGGATTTGGTATCAGGCTGATGCTGGTCTCATAAAATGAGTTAGGGAGGAGTCCCTCTTTTTCTGTTGTTTGGAATAGTTTCAGAAGGAATGGCAAAGCTCCTCTTTTTACCTCTGGTAGAATTCAGCTGTGAATCCATCTGTTCTGGGCTTTTTTTGGTTGGTAGGCTATTTACCAAGCAAATGGAAAGCAAAAAAAAGCAGTGTTTGGAATCCTAATGTCTGATAAAACAGACGTTAAATCAAGAAAAATCAAAAAAAGACAAAGAAGGACATGACATTTAATGGTAAAGGAGTCAATGCAACGAGAGGTATAAGTATCCTGAATATATATGCACCCACTACATATATATGGAGCACCCAGATTCACAAAGCAAGTTCTTAGAAACCTATAAAGAGACGTAGACCCCCAGATAATGATAGTGGGAGACTTTAATACCCGTTGTCAATATTACACAGATCAGCAAGACAGAAAGTTAACAAGGATATTCAGGACTTGAACTCAGCTCCAGACCAAACAAACCTTATAGACATCTACAAAACACTTTCTGTGTTGATCTCACTGGGGCTGCAGACCAGAGCTATTTCTATTTGGCCATCTTGCCAGCCACCAAGAAGGATAACTTTATGAATGAAAGATAGCTTTATGAATGTGGAGTGGGGAACACTTTTCAAACACAATACCAAAAGTGTTAAACCATAGAGAGTAAGATTGATAAAATAGGCTACATTCAAATTAGGAATTTCTCTTCCTTAAAATACTTTATTAAGAATGGGAGAACATATTTCCAGTACATATAATCATCAAAGTGATTGTATCCAAAATATATAAACAACTTTATATGTAAATGACTAAAAACAACTAGTTAAAAAAATGGGAAAAGATAGGAATAAGTTCTTCACAAAAGAAGATATCTAAATAGATAATTACCATGCAAGAAATATTAACTTTCTTAGTCATCATCAAGATACAAATTAAAATCATAATACTCAAAATAATAGCCAAAATTAAAGGGAACGATTATTTGAATTTTTGGCAAATTTTTGGGGCCTCCGCAGTTCTCATATATTGCTGGTGGGAGTGTAAATTGCTGCAGTGGCTTTGTAGAATTGGCAGTATCTAGAAACTCCCAGCATACTAATATCTTATGATTTAGCAGTTCTACTCTCGCCTGCATAAATGCATATGTATATGTGTTCGTTGAAAGAGGTATAATAGAATGTTCATGGCAGCATAAATTAAAACACCTAAAAGTAGAAGTAAGTCAGTTATTTATCAACAGTAGGATGGATAAACTAAGGCAAATTACTGCAATGAAATACTGCACAGCAATAAGAAATGAATCAACTATTGCTGCATGCAATAGCATGGAAGAATTTCACAAATAATATGTTGAGTAAAAGGGACAAGCCACAAGATAATACAAACTGTATAATTCCATTTATGTGAAATTCAAAACCAAATTAATTTTTGGTGTTAGAAGTAATGATAGTGATAATATTTGACAAGGTGAACTTTGGGAAGCTACACAGGTTTCAAAGGCGCCAATAATACTTAGCTTCGTGATACAGGTGACAGTTAATTAAGTGTGTTCACTTTGTGATATTAAAGCTGTGCTTACATAATTAGCATACTATGTGTGTTAAGGAATTTTCAGATAATTATGATTTTTTAACTAGCATAATCTATGTATTAAGCTATAAATACAAATGGCATTAATTGAAAGAATGATCATGGTAATTGACAAGTTTAAAATTAATCTAGTAAATTGTGTTGTAAATAGTGTTGTAATATATACTTCTTTAATGATAAGCATATATGTAATATAATATACTATTAAAGTAACACTGACAGATTTCAGAAGTAACCTTTTCAAACATGTTTTGAGAAGTTGGAAGTTAGTAATTTTTGGAGTGGAGAATTATGAAGAGTGGTTTATTTTAGCTAGATGTTTCAAGTGAAAAATTTTAAGTATTTTTAAATTTTATACATAAATCTTGCAATGTACATTCAGCTGGTAACACTGAAACTATACTGTGTGTGGAGAAGCTTTGCCTTTGATAATAGTAAAGGCAATAAATATAATTTTAAAGTATATCTGTCTTCAAGTTTTATGAGGTGAAAGTATTCTTTGATGTTGCTCCAGTAGTGCTTTCTTGGATTACACATACACTTAAATAATGACATGAGAAATTTCTTTACAGCTGCCTAATTCGGATTTTGGGTTTCTACTAAAAAGTTTAAAGAAAAAACAGTCTAGGGAGAAAGAAAAAAAGAAAATAACAGTAAAAGCAAGTAATTTTTTTTATGAAGTAGCTTGTTTTTCTTTGTTGGTATGCATTAATAGAGAATGTACAACATATAATAGAGTTAAATTCTATTATGACCATAGTAAATTAAGCTTTTTTATTAGAACATTTTAATTTGTAATAATATCCATTTGCTTTTTTTTCTTGTTTATTTTTTTAAAAACTCAAATGAGCATTGTCATTCACCAGCCATGTTTCCTGTTGTTTTCTTTAAGCTGATTCTACTTGCCTCTGTGTGTGAGTTTATGTGTATGTCTGCAGCATGTACTATTATTAAAATAACACCAATAGATTTCATAGGTAACCTTCTAAAGTAAACTTAGTCCACAAAATAGGTTAAAGAAATAATTTGGCATTCTAACCATGTGTCTCTAATAACAGACACCGACTAATGCGTGAAACAGGATTTTGAGTTACTTGGGCCTGAAAGCATATGTCAGTGTCCCAACTTCTAGCTTGATAATTAACTCATTAACTTAGCCACAAATCCAACAACCCATTTGTATCACTCTGCTCCATCATGGCCTACTTGTGGTTTCCCTAGCATACTAAGCATATGGCTATCTCAGCACTTTTGCTAATACCACTGCTTAGATCTGTATTTTCCGGGCCGGGCGCGGTGGCTCACACCTGTAATCCCAGCACTTTGGGAGGCCGAGGCGGGTGGATCACGAGGTCAAGAGATCGAGACCATCCTGGTCAACACGGTGAAACCCCGTCTCTACTAAAACTACAAAAAATTAGCTGGGCATGGTGGCGCGTGCCTGTAATCCCAGCTACTCAGGAGGCTGAGGCAGGAGAATTGCCTGAACCCAGGAGGCGGAGGTTGCGGTGAGCCGAGATCGCGCCATTGCAGTCCAGCCTGGGTAACAAGAGCGAAACTCCGTCTCAAAAAAAAAAAAAAAAAAAAAAAGATCTGTATTTTCCAGCATCTTCCTTTGACTCCTTCCCTCAGTACTCAAGTCTTTGTTTAAATACTGCCTCAGACATGCATTGCAACTAATAATCTCTGTATAATAATTCACATCATTCTCTATTCTTATTCCCTACTTAACGTTTTTATAACACTTGTTACTATCTGATAGTCTGTTTTATTTATGTTTTGTACAGTTCTCAATAAATACAAGATCCACGAAGAAACTTAATTGGTTTTGTTTCACTACTGTTTTTCCAGCACTTAGAGCTATGACAGATACACAGTAAGCACTGTATAAATATTTGTAGTTAGAATGAATGAGTGGGTCAGTGAAATATAATGCATAGTCTACATAGTTCAGCCCTCAATCAGCGCCACAGAATTTATTTATTGTCTAAACAAATATAGAAATAACAAATATTATTTCTAGCATGGTTCTTTTTATAGGGATTGGTGGTATATTTTAAATAAGCTCAAATATTATACAGCAGACTTCAAAACTTCTTGTTATTTTTTAAAGGAGGACAAAAATGCTAAGGGGAAAAATAATATACATAGTTTTTAACTTTGTCTTTTATGAAATAATTAAAAATAATCTTCATTTCAAATTGTGTTTTGTCTTGTCTTTGATTATTTTAAAATATGATAGTATTTAAATATGGTAGTAGTGCTCAAGTGCCACTTAAAATTGTATATTTATATTGATTTTGTTTGTTTTCCCATTTGTATCTGTTTCCTCCCCACCCCACCTTTTCTAAAGAACCCAACTCAAGTCGGAACAGCTCTTCAGGTTTTCCATAACCTTGGAACTTTGAAGGATACTATTACCAATGTTGTGGATGGATATTGTGCTACTTTAGAAGAAAATATCAACAGTGCATTAGACATAAAAGTTTTGACTCAGCCTTCCCAGTCAGCTTTGAGAGGTATGGATGTGGTTTTATATTTAGCTTCTTTATTTATTTATAACTGAGAAGTCCTTTGAATAGTGTGTGAACACTCATGTTTCAAAGCAATCTAATGACTCATTTTTTTTTGTAGACAGAAAATGAGAGAAGAAATTATGTTTCAGAATTTATTTATATCTTTTTTGTCTAATCAGTGAGTTGAACTGGCCAATTGGTATATTCAGAACTTCTAGATAAAGATCCATAAACTGTAGCATCATTTAGTTGAGAGGAAACAGATGCAAAAAAAAAAAAAAAAGAACATATTTTTCTTCTAAAATCCTTATGTACTTCTTATTGAGACTGAAAATATTTTTTAAGGAATGCCATCTCTACCTTAGCTTTCTGGACTTTGCTTTATGATAATCCTGGTACCCAGGAAAAATAGTGACTAACTGTGGAGATAGAAACTGATGAAATTCTTGGGAACATTACAACTATAATAATGTCTAAACAAAACTATTAAAGGAAGGTAGAGTCAAGGTAGTGAAGAGTAGGCCTTCATTAGCAGTCTGTAAACCTTTTTCTATGAAGACATACCTGATGATATTTACATACACACACTTCTCCATGAAAGAAGATAAAAAAGACCACAGATTACATCCACCCTCACTTACTTGCTGGCACCCCGTCTCCTCATTTTTCCCTTTATATTTATTCTTCTTTCCAGTTGGTAGAGATGAACTATGCTTTCTCCCAACAAAGACCAAGCACTCTGCAATTGTATTAGATCCCATCACTCCAAGGTATTGCTTCAGCAGATGCCTTCTTTCCATCAGGTTGACAATGTATCTTTCTTTGCATCTGTTTCCCTTCACATACAGTTGTGTTATTGTATCTCCTTTTGCTTAAAACAAGTTAAAGAAATATATCTTGATTTCTTTCTTCAGCTCTATGACCTATATTTTATTTTTCCAATCTTCAGGAAAACTCCCCAAAAAGTTATCTATACTTAATGTTTTTGGTTTTTCTCCTCTCATTTTTTGAAGGCACTCTCATCCATCCCAGGGTTGTTCTAAAGATAAATTGAATAACTCATTGACTTAATAACAGTTCCTGATCCATAGATAATAGTAAAAAAAAGTGGCTATTTATTATTTTTAAATTTTTTTTTAGATTTTGAATTTTTTATTTAAAAAGTAGAGATGGAGTCTTGCTATGTTGCCCCAGTTGGTGTTGAACTTCTGACCTCAAGTGATCCTCCTTCTTGGCCTCCCAAAGTGTTGGGATTACAGACATGAGCCGCCATGCCTGGCCTATTATTATTTTTATATTTGCTATATAAATATGACCTTAAGTAATACTGAATATATATAACTTATAAGTTGTACTAGATAAAAAGAGATAAAAGAATCTTAGGTCTTAAAAAGAGATTTTTAAAGGTTAGCCCTAGCCTCTGAATAGGTTTATATTGAAACTATTCCAGAAGGAGATCTTTGAAAAGAAATTGCCAAAGGAGATTTTACTCCTAGCTTTTCCCAGCAATTATTCTCAGAAAGTTCGATACAGTGTTTAAATTTCCAGGAGCAGTTTAATCTCATTCCCTCTTGTGTTGTCAAGAATAAGGAAAAAAAAAATGAAAGCAGTTATTCACATGCTGTCAATCCTAACTTATGCCTCTTTTGTTGAGAGAATAGAGTTTAAAGCTGCCTTCTTACCATGTGTTGACAAGTGGATACCATAATTTAACAGAGAAACCTTAAGCATCAGTTCTTTATTATTTTCTTTAAAAGAATAATCATAATTATTTTTTATTTTAAAATGTTTTATAGACACTATTACTGTTAATTTTCTGATCTTGTTTATGTTGAGGTTATGTAGGAGAATGTCCTTGTTGGAAATACACATTAAAATTTTCAAGAATGATGGGACTTCATGTCAGTAACTTACAAGTGGTTTAGGGAATTTGTTTTTTGCAATACTTAAAATTTTCTGTAAGTATAAGATTATTTCATAATTTTAAAAATACTTAACATAATTGAATTCTGTCAGTGTGTGTTTCTGAGAGTGAACGGCTCACATCTGACAAGTATCTAACAGAGCCAGTACACAGGAGATTGACAGTGGCAGTCATGAGTGTGATGGTGTATGATGTCATTTTCAATCTGAGACTTCCTGAGAACTAAAGTTATACACACACACACACACACACACACACACACACGCAATACATTACAATTTTAAGGATAAAAAAATACATAAGAAATAAAAAGCCTGTAACTCAATAAGAAAAAGGTAAACAACCCAAGAGAAAAAATAGATAAAGAATATGAAAAGGCAGATCACAGCAGAACACATTCAATAAACATGTGAGAAGATGTTCAGCCTCTTTTTGGAGGATGAAACTAGTTACTAAGGAAATACAAATTAATCATCACATTGGAAAATCTAAGACAGATCTAACTTCTGGACAAGAGCAGAAACTCTCGTAAACTATAGAAGGAGAATAAAATGGTTCATCCACTTTACTCAATTTTATTAATTTTATCTCTAAGGTGAATAATTTGTTCATCTTGTGATGTTATACTTTCTAAGAATATACTGCAGGGAAACTCTGGCATTATATATAAGGATTTGTGTTACCTGCCCATCACTGTGGCTCATGCCTGTAATCCCAGTACTTTGGGAGGCTGAGGCGGATCACTTGAGGTCAGAATGAAACCAGCCTATCCAACATGGTAAAACCCCCTCTCTATTAAAAATACAAAAAAATTAGCCAGGCATGGTGGCACATGCCTATAGTCTCAGCTACTTAGGAGACTGAGGCAGGAGAATCGCTTGAACCTGGGAGGCAGAGGTGTAGTGAGCCAAGATCCTGCCACTACACTACAGCCTGGGCGACAGAGCAAGACTCAATCTCAGAACACAAAAAAAGATTTTTTGTTACCTCATTGTTGACAATAGTGAAAAAGTACAAACAATGGATAAACTAGTTTGTTAAGGGGATTAATACACAACATTTAAATTAACAACTTTCCCGATATAGATAATGGTCAAAAACAGTACATAAAATAGTTGCAGAAACATACATACAGCATGATACCAATTTAAAGCCTAAGAACATGACAGACTATAATAAATTGTTTGTGCACATGCACATATATGCTAACAGTGTAAATACATGGATTGGAACGATGATCAACAAATTAAAGATACCAATGCTGGGCATGGTGGCACATGCCTGTAATCCCAGCTACTTGGGATGCTGAGACAGAAGGGTCACTTGAGCCCAGGAGTTTGAATCCAGTCTGCATAACATAGCAAGACTCTGTCTCTTAAAAACAAACTACAAAACCCAATACCATTACATCTGACAGCAGAGCAACAGAAATGAAACCAGCGAAGGAGGGAATGAGGAAACTTCACTTTAACGTTGTATTTCTTAAAGCTTGGTGGTTAGTGTTCATAAAGTTACTCTATATGCTTTTTATATGTCTGAAATATTTTAACATTAAAACATGAATATTAAGTCAAACAGTGAAGAGAGATGATGATGATGTTACAAAGCAGACAACACCGAATATCCAAATTTCATCACCCAGAAACTAGTTGTTACCACACAGTGAACAGTAGTCCATGCATTTATCTGTGCATTGTATGTTGTAGAAGGACAAATGGAGAGGCATAAATGGAATTTTAAGATACATACTTTTAAAAAATACCTTTTTATTATAAAATAAAACTTAAAGAAAAACATAAATGAAACATGTAGATTAATGAATTATTAGAAAGTGAACACTTCTAGGCAAAACCAGCCATCCAGAATCCTCCTTATTTGTTTCATACCAATCATAACCAGTCCGTCTCTCTCCCATGTGTAACCATTATCCTCACTTTTATATTAATCACTTCCCGTGTTTTTCTTTTTATAGTGTTATCATTCGTATGTGTGAACTTAAGCACCATAGTTTAGCCTCACCAGTTTTACAAGTATACTTTTAAAAATAAAATACTTTTATTCTTTTGAATTCAACAGAATAATTAGAAATTTATGTGAAATCAAGGACTTAATGAATTTTTGATTAATGCTTCTTCATAAGAAATACTAGATCTTAATTGATACCTCTAAATTTAAAAGTGAGTGAAAGATTACAAAAAAAACATAAGAAATTGAAGTCATTTGTTGTTAAGTCTCTTGAATCTTTACTACTAAATGTTGGAAATAGGCATACTTAAACTTTTCCCTACCCACCCCTCATCCTCATTTACCTGTTGTTAGCTATATTATGTTTGAATGATTAATGTTTTTTTCATTTTCTTCTATTTTTAAAAGATTTTAATCTCTGGTTCTTTTAATAGGACCTCTGCATTTCTTTTCTCTTTTTTTTCAGTAGCTTTAGGGGTACAAGTGGGTTTTGGTTATGTGGATGAATGGTACAGTGGTGAAGTCTAAGGTTTTAGTGCATGGTCACCCCAGTAGTTTACGTTATACCCAATATGTTGTTTTTAGCCCTCACTTCCCTCTCACCCTCCCATTCTGGGTCTGCAGTGTCCGTTATACCACTCTGCCTTTTTGTACCCATAGCTTAGCTCCCACTTATAAGCGAGAATATACGATATTCAGTTTTCTACTCCTGAGTTACTTCACTTAGCATAATGGCTACTTGTTCTATCCAAGTTGCTACAAAGACATTATTTCATTCTTTTTTATGGCTGAATAGTATTCCATGGGGTGTGTAGACACACACACACACACACACACACACACACACACACACATGGCATTTTCTTTACCCACTCATTGTTTTATGAACACTTAGTTTGGTTCCCTCTCTCTGCAATTGTGAGTTACACTGTGATAAACATACACACGTAGGTGTCTTTTTCATATATGACTTCTTTTCCTTTGGGTAAGTACTCAGTATTGGAATTGCTGGATCTAATGGCAGATGTACTTTAGATGTTTGAGAAATCTCCATACTATTTTCCATAGAGATTATACTGGACCTCTCCATTTCTATATTCATTTCTCCCTTGGCTGGATATCATAATCTAGTTGATTTTTCAAAAATGTTTCATGGGTACTGTGCTCTCTGAGTCCTTCCATAATTGGTGGTTTTTTTTGCTTTTATGCTTATATGATTTGGCCAGGTATAAATTTTTATATATACTTTCTTTCCCTTAGAATTTTGTGGCTCTTGGTGACCCAAAAACGAATGATTCTCTTCCCCCACTGAATTGGAAAATGAGACACAAATTTAGGAGACAAAAAGATGATAATTATAATGTTAGTTTTATTATTGTTAAACAATTGCACTGAAGGCATAGCTTAGATTTGTAGCCAAATGGATTTTTTAATATATCACCTCAAAATTAAACTTATTTCCCAATTCAGCCTTCCCCACTATATTTACCACTGGTAGAATGTTGGTCAGAATACTCCATTTATACATGCAAAGCTTCAACAAGAAAGAAAGGATGGGACTGAGCCAATTCTCAGTTTCTTATTCAGATTCACTCATCACTCCTCTTCACATGGGGAGGGTTGAATAAGAGGTAGGGAAAGAAGGCAAGAAAGTTATTTTAGCTGAAGTCCCTTTATGTGAAAGACAAGGCCAGGAAAATAAAGAGTCCGATCTAACATCAGACATTCCTTTACCCACTGCTGGGTTTTAGTGTTATATTAGAGAATTACGAGACTAATCAGATTTTTATTGCCCACTAACTGACTTGCTTTTTCTTGGCTATCCAGATGGTTTTTCCTTTATCTTTGAAGTTTAGTAAATTCTTTATAATATGTTACAGAGTTGAATGCTCTGTGTCAGGTTTTATTTTTTTTCCTGAGTTAAAGTATGTTCCCTTTTATATAAAAGTTTTCTTCCATTGTATATTGAATGTTTTTCTGTTCCATTTGTTTTTTCCAGGAATTTTATGCATATATTAGATATTCTTTGTTTTTGTTTTCCATGTCTCATATCTTCTTGCATTTAATGCTGGGCATATTGTAGAAGAGAGGGTATCGTGAATGTGGAAGTCTGATTCTCTTAATATTTGCTTGGAGTTTTTTTCACTCGGCTTCCATTGTCTTTATATTTTACTGCATTTTGTATTTTTCCTCTTATGTATTTCACATGTATTACTACTGTCTTTTCACCCTTCCGTCTTATAATTTTTTGTTTTTTCTAATATGGTCCTAATCGCTGTAATATTTTTCCAGTATATTTTCAGTAATTACGTTGAGACAGTGGAAAACTGAGTATCTCTTCCTGTTATTTCTTTGCTGATCTATGTTTATCATTGCTTTTAGCTTACATTCCTTTTTTTGCTCCTTCCTGCCCCCCTCCCCAGTGTCTATGTTAAGTTCATTGTTGCTTTGTTTCTGATGATTATTTGTCATCAAAAGGTGCTAGCTATTCATTGAAGAATAGCGTAGGAATGGCTGAAGGGAGATACCTGAAGCAGTCTGCAATTTAAATTTGTTGTCTAGAATAACAATTTGCCAGTTTCTTACTTCTTCTTGGGAGCACATCTGTCCTCAAATGTTGTACCATTGAGAAGCTTAGAATGGCTCCCAGTAAAGCTATTTAAGCTTTTTCTGTGTTGAATCCTAGCATTCTCAGTATCTTTTTTCTTCATCTCACTTTACCTCCAGTAGTCTCCCCATGCTCAGGAGCTAATTCTTAAACAACATGAATATTCACTTTGTTATGATTTTCCTTCAACTTTTCCTTTTTTGTCATTTTGCAATGTTGAACATTTCCTGGACTGTCCATATCTGTAGATCTCAGCTCTAATCAAAGAATCCTTACATAGCTTGGGCACATTCTTATAATTGGGTTTAAGAGCAATTTGTTTCTTGGCAATGATCTAAGGGGTCAACTCTCTGGTTCCTTCTTCATTTTGATTTATCTACACCAATTGGCATGCATGCTTCATAATCTCAAGTTTGAATTTTGTTTGATTCCTTGTTTCTTTGAAGTTGACATTTTCTACCTTTGGTTTGATTTTCTTTTCATTGGCATTCAAGGAAAGAGAGTAACAAAATGATTTTACTCCACCATCATTAACTAGAAATTGTTTTCAAGGTTTTTGGTTTTTTTTTTTTTTTTTTTTTTTTTTTGAGGGGAACTGTTAGTTTCTTTTATCACTTTTAAATAAAACTTAAGAGACTATTTTGTTTCTTGAGCCTATTAAAGCTAACTGATAATGACAGTATCTTGTATTTTTGCTTGTATTTAAAAGAATAATAGGTTAATGGGTTTCATAATTATAATAAAATCAAGTCATACATATTCTAGGAATTTGACTTGTATTTTTTAGTATTCATAAAGGCACTATATACCCTTTTCTCACTGTTACGAGTTCATTCTTTATATAATATGTGAGACAGATTGGTAGAGTATTATCCATTTCCTGTATACCTTCCCTAAATAGTCTTTGCGTAGCACTGCAAATATTCTAAAAATTCGTTAGATGCAGAGTTCAAACAGGTAGTATCTATATTTTTAAAGCCAACATCTTTCTCATAGATTTTTTATTTTATTGCTTGCTACTATTATCAGATGAAAGAAATAACTGCATCTGTTTGCTAAAGGTACATGCAATTCTTTTTTGAATTGTTGAAAAACTAGAGTGAGGCAGGTTACACACACAGTGCCTCTGGTTTTCTTTATTTTGTCCTCTGTAAAAGCAGGGATATAGACTGTCTAACCAGTGGTGAGCTCTTCAACTGCCTGATATTTAACCTTAGTTTGGAGTGAAATTTATGACTTTTAATTGGTGATTAAAATTTCTATTTTTTATGTGGAAACATTTCAGACCTCTACATATAGTTTCCTGTGCATATTACATACAAGAACATTCTTAAACAGTCTCACTCTGTAGAAATTTAGTATTGATCCATTAATATTATCTAATGTTCAGTTCATACTCAAAATTTTATTCCCCAAAATGTTCTTTGTATAAGTTGTTTTTCCCCTGACTGGAACCAATCAGGGATCATGCTTTTCTATTGACTGTCTTGTCTCTTTAATAAAAAAACAGCACCATTGCCATTTTTTTGTTTTTTATGGCATTAACATTTTTTTGGAGAGCCTCATAATCTGAATTTGCCTGGATTTATGTGATATTTTCTTTATGACTAGCTTCAGGGTAAGCATACTGGTGGTAAGATGATGTTGTGTATTTTCTATTACATCCTATCACGAAATAAAATTATTTGTTTGTTTTATTATTGCTAATGCTAAATTAGATCACTAAGTTAAATTGGCATATGCCAGATTGCTCCTTATAATACGACACTCTTTTCTTTGTAATTAGTAATTTATAGGTGCATACTTTGAGACTATATGATGAATATCTTGTTTTCTATAACATTTCACTTAGTGTTTTGGTATCCATTGATACTCTTCCTCTTTATTATTGTACTAGTAGTTGATTTTTTTTTCTAATTTTGTCATTCTTTTTGCATTTATTAGCTCATACTCTTTTGTAAAGAGGATTGCCATCCTTTTTAAACATTTGAGTTTCACTATGTACTCATGAATTATTTTTTAATCATTGTTTGATAATTTATTACTATCAGTATTATTTTGGATGGCCAAATTATCTGAAATTTGTGTTGTGGAAGCCCCCTCCAGTCAACTTCATGTATCCTTTTGAAAAATTTTGTCTGTCTTCAAACACTTTATTGCTCACTGGTACAATATCTGCCAGATTCACCTTGTATTTTCGCTTCTTCAAATATGAAATCACCCTTTTTTCCACTGAATCCTGCTTGTTTTTATTGGAGAATGGTTTTAGAAATCAAAGTTTGGATACTAGATGTGCTTGTTATTATTGAGGAATCATTGTCTCTCTGCCTTTCCAGTGGATAGAGTTGAGAAATACCTCTAATCCCCGTTACTGATTTGTGTCTTCATTCTGTTTACATTGAGAATCTTATTTTGCTTTGTTCCAAAATATACCTAAACTAGTTTCAGGATTACTGCTTCAATACCACATCCAGCAAAAATCTATTAAGTAAAGTTAATTTCTTTGTAATTTTTTTTTGTGTGTAAATGTATCTCACTAAAGTCAGAGTTCTCTGATTAAAAATTCCATGAATTGAAATTGTTTTCCTCTTGTGTGGTTATATTGTCAATTTGGTATACATATTGTTTCATTTGTTTTGTTTTGTTTTATATTCAGTTTTAGGGGTTTTTTTTTTAAAAAAAAAAGAAAGAAGGGACATAACACACACATACACACACGCGTGCCAATACACAGGATAAAGGGAAATTAGTGAAGATGGTTTCCTACAAGGGACATGAGAGCAGTAGGAAACAGAGGAAGACTCACCTCCATCCTGGCACCTTTCACCTATTTCATTTCCCACCATTCTCACACTCCTTCAAGGAAACCATTTTCATCAATTTCCATTTCATCCTTCCTGGGTATGTGTTGTTTCCCTTTCTTTCTTAAACATAAAAGGTTAAGATTCTTACAAGAGATTATTTCCTAAAGAAGGAACTTCTCATTTTTTAGTTTTTGTATGCTTCTCATAATAATGCGTATGTATTTTTACTTTTGGAAAACTTTGTTTTTCATATTTCTTTCTCACTACTAACCAGGGGGTCCTGGACGATCTACCATGCCAACCCCAGGAAATACTGCCGCTTTGCGTGCTTCACTCTGGACCAATATGGAGAAACTTATGGATCATATTTATGCTGTTTGTGGACAGGTAAATATTTGAAGGAGTGGAAAGAACGTTAATATGTTTTAACTCCTGGTTATTCCAAGTTGTGTGACCTTGGGCAGGTTTTTTAACCAATGAGCATTCAGAATAACTCCACTATCTGATTAAATTTATGTAAAGGTTGGCATTTCCCTTTCCTTGCTTTTTCTTATGCCTGAGCTTTACATTTGTTTCATTTAAGGTACAACATCTACAAAAAGTACTGGCCAAGAAGAGAGATCCTGTTTCTCACATTTGTTTCATTGAAGAAATAGTTAAGGTATGTTTAAATGAAAATATTTTTATATCTTTCTTGTACAAAACAGGAATATATGAACCAGCATCATTTGTGTTACTACCTTACAGAGTGGTTACATGTCAAATGGCAATAGAGAATCATATTTCTTGACAGCTGTAAATGTTCCTTGCAATATAAATGGAATCATGGGGCCAGGTGTGGTGGCTTACACCTGCTATCTCAGCACTTTGGGAGCCCAAGAAGGGTGGATCATGGGGTCAGGAGTTCAAGCCCAGCCTGACTAATGTAGTGAAACTCGTCTCTAATAAAAATACAAAACAGGCATGGTGGCGTTTGCCTGTAGTCGCAGCGTCAGTAGGCTGAGGCAGGAGAATTGCCTGAACCTGAGAGGCAGAGATTGCAGTGAGCCAATGCATTCCAGCCTGGGCAACAGAGTGAGACTCTGTCTCAAAAATAAATAAAAGTATTTGTATTTGTTTATGGAGTAGATGCTAGCAATAGTACTATTTATAGATTAATTTCTGTAATGTACATACTAATTTCTCATTTTCTGTTATATAAGTGCTTTTAAATGTTCCGCTAGAGAATAAGGTGAAAATTTTTGGTAAATAAGACATTTAAATAGAAGTCATTATAATGTGTTTACTGAAGGTTGTTGATTTTTCCCATAAAGTACTTTGCTGTATTTATTTTTTATATTCTGAGATCTTCCTGTCACCCACCAATCTGCTAGCCCCATAAAAATTCCTTCCATGCATAGGAATCCCTGATTCTACATTTTACTCATTATATTGATGTGTTTTTGATAATGATTACTAGCACAATGATTGTACCGGTCATTAAATCCTAACCTCTAGTAGCCCAAAGAAAAAAGTTCCTTAATTTCCAACATCATGGTATAGGTAATTTCCTTTGTTAATCCACAATATTAAATATTTTGTATACTGTGTGGAAAGTCTCCAGGACTGTCCCTCAGGTTTCATGATTTATTAGGAGGATTGACAGGACCTGGTGTCACAAGATCCTTAGGGTGTCACTTCACCAGCCAGAAAACTCTGTGGCCAGCAGCCCTTTCTGCCTGAGTATTGCTCATGCCCACTGGGCTCATTCTGCCTACTTGGCCCAGCAGGCTGCACATTGCTCGCACTACCGGCCCAGACTCCACAACTGCCAAGCACGAACCAGGCACAGAGTAGCAAGTGGTGTGTGAGCGACAAGTGCAGGGTCTGGTCACTGTGCACAGCCAGACGCACTGGCTGCTGTGGCAGGGGAGGCAGCTCAAGGTGCCAGCACAGGTGCTAGTTCCATGTGAGGCTGCAGCTGGACCAGATGTACTGCACATGGCTTTTGCTGCAGGTACCTGCATCTGGACAAGGGGGATGCAGTGACACCTGCAAGCTCAGAGACACCAGGAACTGCAGAACCCCAAAGAAGGTGTCATGGCCCTGGCTCAGGGAGCCCCTGGGCATGGGCTCCCCAAAGGGCCATAGCTCTTTTCTCCTTCTTGTTGTCCACAATGTGGTTAGTGGTGGGGGCGTGTTTCAGCCCTGTTTGTGTTACAGCTCTTTTAGTCTGGCCATGTGGTAGATCCTGAGTTCTTGTCCCACATTCAAGAAGAATGAGGCATGTGGACAACTAGAAGGTGAGCAAGGCAGAGAGGAGCTTCACTGAGTGGCAGAATAATTGTCAGGAGACCTGAAGTGGGTAGCTGTTTCCCACAGGCAGGTCGTCCCCACAGGCGTCCAGCTCTTAGTGGAGAGGAGACCTACAGTGTGTAGTTCCCTTCCACAGACAGATCATTCTGACATCTGTGCAGCCCTCAGTGGAGAGGAGATCTGGACTGGGTAGGTCCCATTTGCGACAGGTCATCCCAACATCCATGCGGCCCTCAGCATAGAGGAGACCAAAAGCAGTTAGCTCTTATCTGCAGGCAGATCATCCTGTCATCTTTGTAACCCTCAGCATAGAGGAGATCTAGAGTGGTTAGACTATATCTGCTGGCAGGTTATCTTGTCATCTTTGTAGCCCTCAGTGGAAAGGAGACTTGGCATGGGTAGGTCCCATTGGCAGACTGGTCATCCTGACATCTGTGTAGCCCTCAGCAGAGAGGAGACCCAGATTAGTTAGCTTGTATCTACTGGCAGATCATCTTGTCGTTTGTGCAGCCCTCAGTAGAGAGGAGACCTGGAGTGGATAGTTCCTATCCACAGGCAGATTGTCCTGTCATCTGGCAGTCTGGCTGAATTGGGGGTTTTTATGGGCTTCAGAAGGGAGGAAGTGTGTGCTAATTGGTTTATGGCTAGCCATGGGCAGGCCTGAAAAAAACACCATATATTCTCACTCCAGTCCGTGAATGGGCAGTTCAGTCCCCAAGCTTCAGGTCCCTGGCTTAAATATAGGTGTTCGCTGGGGACTCGCCCATTTTTGCTCAGGAACCTGTCTGCCTCCTGCCACCATCTACCTGTCATCCACAGCACCCAGGCTGTTCATGCCAAGGGGCACCTGCAGGCCCTCACCGGGCTGCACTCAACACTCCCTCAGCCTCCCTCCCATGCTCATCGGCACCCAAAGTCTGGAGACGGGTGAGGAAGCAGGGAGCTGGTGTGTTAACGCTGCCCCAAGCATGCACACACCCAGCTGAGTTGTGACAGCACCTGGGCTCAGCCTCATTTGTGCTCCAAAATCATATTGGGTGCTGGGAGCAGGGAGAGGCCAGGCAATGGGAGCAGGCACTTTAAAGTCTGTGGAGGCAGAGGGCTTCCCAGGTCCCCAAGAACACAGGGATGTCTGGGTCTGCAACTGTGGCTGGGTGGCTGCAGCTGCACCCAGGAGGGCAGGGCTCTCACCCTCCGACTCAGAAGGGCAGGGCTCCCGCCTGCTTCCCACTGCAGCCAGCCTCATGGCAGCAGCTGCTGCAGACAAGTCACCCCTGCCATCACCAGCATATAGTTGTACTCATGGCTATCATTTGTGGCAGTGAAACGATGTGAAACAAAATCAGCAAAGCAAAAAAAGATGCGTGGGGCAAGGTCTAGAGGAAACCAGATGCAAGCTTCCAAAGAGTCCTCTCCCACTGGAGTTACACATGAACCTCTTGATTCTTCCAACAGCAAGTTACGACAGCATGCATAAAGTGCTGTCGACCGGGAAAACTCAACTTGAGCTTGTGAGTCCAGAGTTTTACCAGGGGTTGCTTAATGACTAAAGACATACCAAAATTCTAGATGCCCAGTAGAAAAGCAGGTATTCAGTATAAACCATATTGTTTGTCACAAACAGTTTAGTTACAGTGAAGAAGTCTTATCAGTTAGAGAATCATGGGGTCCCTCTCAAACTATAAGTTCCTAGATGCTAGCACAATACCAGTCTTGCAGTCAGGATTTTCTGATGGTAGCTATCGCAGACCTGTTATGTTAACTCTTTTGTGCACATGTACTTACATCATTACATGCCTGCTTACTTCACCGTGCTTTCTACTTGGCTTTCATTTGTGTGAAAGAAACAATGAGATGCTTTTGTCAAGGGGTATAGTCACTCATGTTTTGCATTTATTACTAGATGGGATAATTAATATTGGTCCTTCGTATTTACAGTTAAATAACTATACTTGTAGTGTTTTCATTCATTTGTTCTGATTTTGGCTGTCTTTCTATACAAATCAATCTATTTAGCCTTTATGTACAGTGGCCTTATTTCAAGCTTTTGTTATCTAATACTTTGGATACTTTTTATTCCTTTTGAACAGGTTAATATTCTACAAACAACATAAGGACATTATAATGAAACAACTATACTGAGGAGCATCTAATGAAAATATCAAAAATAATACTGCTATTAAGGAGGTTTATGTTTGTAATATTGTTACGTTGGGCAGAGTTTCTATATAAAAACATACATAAATTCTTTTTAACAGTAAAGTATTAAGGTGAATGAACACTGGCAACTTGAACAGACCAGATTTTAAATGCATATGAGGCTGGGCACAGTGGTTCATGCCTGTAATCCCAACAATTTGGGAAGCTGAGGCAGAAGAATATTTTAAGGCCATGAGTTTAAAACCAGCCTGCACAACACAGGGGGACCTCATCTCTACAAAAACTAAAACAGTTAGTCAGGCGTGGTTGTGTACGCCTGTAGTTCCAGATAATCAGGAGGCTGAAGCAGGAGGATTGTTTGAGCCCAGGAGTTCAAGGTTACAGTCAGCTAAAATTGCCCCACTGTACTCTAGCCTGGATAACAAAGTGGGACCCTTTCAGAAAGAAAGAGATAGAAAAAGAGGAAGAGAAAGGGGGAGACAAAGAGAGAGAAAGAAAATGCGTATGAATCGTTACTGATTTAAAAAGAATTGTTAGCAATAGGGATATATGCTTTCCTTTTATTCACCTATTTCATGTACTTAAACTTCCCATTAAAATAAAACCATTAAAGATTGCTCTTTCAGAGACTATTCTTAGGCTATTTAAGAATATATTCATATGCAACACACACATACCTATTTACATTTATATATAATTTTTAATGTAAATTACTGGTTGAAAATTTTTTGATAGTAATATTTATGAAAAAAATTTAGTCTCTCTTGAAATTCAGTGTACCTATCTATAGAAAAGATCAGTCTTTTGTGAAAAGTCCAAAATGTCGTTTCCCCCTGCATACTTGGGAATTCCAGAGCAACAGAAAAATAAAAAAACTCAGAAGAAAATACTTGTCATATATTGCAAAGACAGCACATAAGGTTCTCAATATTTAGTATAATTTATTTGAATAGCCTTTTCCTTTAAATATATCTTTATTATAAAGCTATAAAATATTTTACCAAGTGAGAACATTATTTTTCTAGTTAAGATAATTATCATTGGCAATAGAACCTTTATAACAAGTTCAGGATTTTTAGGATGATTTGGAGACCCTAAGTAATAACCCTCTTGAGTCACTGAAGAGTGATAAGTGGTATCTTTTTGTATTCTGTTTTCAAGGAAAAAGTTATGAATAGAATGTTCTTCTCACTCTACAAGTTTTTC